CATTGGGAACTTTAATTCTAGCATTCGGGATGCCCTGCATCATAGTACGGTACGAAAAAATACTTCTACCGGTTCGTACAGGTACTTCCGTACGTAYCGAGTGTCTTCATTTTTCTGTAGCTAGAAAACATTTCTGTGTGTTACGAGTATGGTACAATACGTACAGGTACGTACCGTACAATATTTGATTCGTATCTTTTATGCCATGATCGGTTAAATCTTTGAAGATTTAAAGGGGRAAAATTCGGTGAAGTACTGTTTCTCATACGAACTGAGTGCCCGAAACAATAAGTGATGCTAGTAGTGATATTTTACATCGATACTTCGAAATCCGAATTGAATCCTGGCCGCAAAACAYATGTATTCCACATACTATCAACTTCGTACTGATTGTTTCCTTCAATTTTTGATTCATCGTCGAATGGAGGACCCTACAAGAGGTGGAAGCAAAACATGATCGTTTCCACACAAAAAATAGAAAAGGATCAGCAACAATTCAAACATAGATAAAATCCAACTAGGAACTTTGTCTATTTGTACAGCAATGATCAATAATATCGGACAGGAGAGTGCTAATCTTCACATGTCGTTAACACCATTACGACATCGATTAGAACGATGTAAGATGGCTAACAGTCGTGGAAGTGAAGAAAGCCAGAGCGAGAGTAAATTGGACGATGAAACCAGACGTCTTGTGATGGATGTACTGGATCTCTTGAAGTCTTCTTCGGGTAGTGCCATCTTGAACAACAAAGACCTTCCACGTAATGATACCAAAAAAACATCAAAACTAATTACCAAGATTGCAAAACAGTCAGAAACGGAAAGCTACTGCCAAGAATCTGAATCACCAAGCACATCAACGACCTCATCGTTTTCGTCATCATCGTCTTCCAAGTCTGCGAAGTTGTTGAAATTATCGCCTCCCACTAGACGAGTCAAACGCACAGAAAAAACTTCCCCTTCAAGCCGAATGGAGCGTGTTTTGCAATTGTCGCCCATTACGAGAAGAGGCCGCACRGTATCACCATCACCTTCGAGATGGATCGAAAAAGAAACAACAGAAGACGTAAAAGGCATAATGAAGTCTTCCTTCAGTAGACGAAAGGAGCGTACCATCTCGACATCGCCAACCAGAAGAAAAGAGCGGACCATTTCGACATCGCCCACTAAACGAAGAAAGGAACGCACAAGACATATGTTGTCATCATCGCCCACTGGGCAAAGAAAAGAGCGCACAGCGATTTCATCGTCTCTTACGAGACGAAGAGATGAGCGCACGGCAATGTCATCGTCGCCCACCAGACGAAGAAAAGAACGCACAAGTCTTTCGTCATCGCCTGAGGTCAGGCAGGAAGTAATAGAMGAAGAGAAGAAACAGACGAAGTCCCCAGACAAATCTGGCAAAAAACGACGTGGTAGAAAACCAAAATCTGACAGAGTGGATCAGAGGAACGGAAAGTTGGATCTGAAACTCTCAAAAACATCTAGTACCTTTGACGGAAATAGAATCTTCGCCAAGACAACGTCTGGTAGCCTTGGAGATTTGCGTATGCAMGAAATGAATTACCGCTATCAGAATACTGATGAGTCGCAGGATATTCATTCTTGTGGGCACTTGAGCAGTAGAAGTGCCAGCAGTATCAATAATATTGTTCTGAATCATTGCAACGATACTGATGATATAAATGAGTACATAGCATCATTGGGAAGGACGAAGACGAGGTCGGCAACATCACAGTTTAGCAAAGCCGAGGATAGAGAGAGCAATTCTAGCCCAAAGAGTCCCCTCCCTCGTCGATCGATAGCAACGCTTGGGTTAAAGAAAACACCTAGTCACCAACGTGGTACGACTAGGACAGAGACGCATAACGCCCTAGAAGTGCCCGTTTCGGCGCCGCGTTCAAGATCGCCGAACAGAATGGTTCGAAGATCGAAGTCCGATACCAGCACTATACAGCGAACGGCAATTCTATCGTCACCGCATCCGAGGCGAAACTCGGTGAAAATCTCGATCGAGGGCAGCAAGTCTTCATCTCCTCCCTCATCCTCTGTCAAAAAAAGTACGATTGGCAAAACCAAATCTGATGCTTCATTGATCGCAAACGCTTCTTCATCTGCTTGTGAATCGCTTCGAAAAGAAAGATCGATTCCATCACCTCCACTATGTACTTCACTACGAAAAGAGAGAACATCTAACTTGCTAAGAAGAGAGCGATCAATCCTTTCGTCATCGCCTCCAAAGTCGGCTGCATTGCGAAAAGAAAAGTCAATCTCGAAGCCAAAAACTCCTCCGCCGCCACCGCTTCTCTTAGACGACTCTTCCCATCATCTATCGTTGTTTTTGGACGAGGAAGAAGAGGACGAGGATAGCAACGGCTTGCTGGCTCACTCTTGGCGGGCAGAAAGCAGCCACTGCAACAAAATCAACAGCAGCAAGCCCATCACCGACAACAACCAAAGCACCGAAAACTTGAGCGGCGAGGAGGAATGTGCCAAGCCTCAATCAAGTTCGTCTTTCGCCTCCTCTAGTTCCAATTTTAGCGCCGGGGGAAAGGTTCGAAACATTCGTACCCACGAGGTATACACCGGATTCTTCCTCTTGTCGGAAGAGGGCAACGGCAAACCCGTCAATCTCAAGCACGGATACGGTAGGACAAAGTTCCCGGATGGTCGCGTCTTCGAAGGCACGTACGACCGTGGAACGATGATGGAAGGGAAAATGACGTACCCTGCAGATCCAAGCAGCCGCAGCAGAAATGGCGAGGAAGAGCGACCTACTTACGTCGGCAAGTTCGATAAACAGGGCTTTCGCTGCGGCAAGGGCATCTACACCACATCGGCCACCACGTATTTGGGAGACTTTTTCCGGGACGAAATGCACGGCTCAGGAATTCTGATTTACCATAATCTGACCGAGAACAGCAAATACGGACGCAGAAGCAGCGACGAGTCAAAAAACAGCAAGGGTCGCCGATTTGTAGGGCACTGGAAGGATGGCCTCAAGCACGGAGTTGGAAAGGAGGTTCGCGTCGACGGAACCATACAACGAGAAGGTGTGTGGAGGAAGGGTCGCTTTTGTGGTAGATCTTAGAATCAGCGTGGGTTCATGTTTGAAAAGAACAAAACTTGTGTTCGACCTTGTAGATCCAAAATAAATTAAATCCCTTAGATTACTATTCAAGGATATCGATTTCAATTCAATTGGACGGGATAGGAACGAGAACGAAAAAAATATTTGTTGTGTTTCATGCCCGAGCGTAGCCTTTCACGGCGCCCAATGGCGCCCCGTCTTTGGACGAATGGTTGAACGAGAAAAGATCCATCAGCCGGCACGAAAGCCCCGTCACAATTCCGCCTCCTGGCCCTCGACGACTTGTTCCAAAATGTTAACCCGCCGGCGAGCCCAATCCCTCAGGTCGTCCTTCATGGGTCCGCCCAGGATACTGCGCAATCGCCGGATTTCCTTGGAAGCCTTCGATGCGTCGTACCCAGAAACCTTGCCGATGTAGGTTTTCTCGCGTTCGTTGCAGTCGTCGTCGGGCGAAGCAATCTTGCACTGGAGGGCTGGGGTGCTGCTGCCCTGGATGGCTAGGATTTCCATCCTGAAGATCAGCGTCTCTCCCGGACCGATGTTTGGGGGGCTTCCGCGATCGCCGTAGGCCAGTTCGCTCGGAATGTACATTTCCCACTGACAGAATAGAAGAGACGGGGTGGTTGGTGCGAAACATTGTGCGGGAGAGCCAAGGTTAGCAATCCGGCAATCCAGCAAACAAACAAGGAGCAAAGGCGAACCCACAAAACTTCACCAAGCTCTAGTCGGCACAGCGCAAAAGACGAAACCCAGCGCCAAGAATTCATAGCCACACGCACCTTGTCCCCGGCGACCATCATCTGCATTGCCTCTGTCCATCCCTTGATGACCTGGTTGGGCGCAAAGGACGCCGGTTCCCCCCGTTCGTAGGACGAATCGAAGACGGTCCCGTCGATGAGCGTTCCCTCRTAGTGGCAGCTGCACGGGCTCCCGCTGGTCGGGTGCGCTGTTCCGCGGCCCCTCCGGAGAACCTTGTACTGGAGGCCCGATGGGAGCTCCACCACCCCGGGCTTGCCGCGGTTTTCTTCGAGAAAGGCCAGGCCGGCCTCGTTCGTTCCGGCAGAAGCGAGGCCAAGGACGCAGRCAACGAGGAGGAGGAGGATCAGAGTGGCGTGTTTCGTTTGTAGGACGGCCATGGTGAAAAAAGGTTTCGGATTTGTCTCGATGGATCCTGATTTGACGTGATCGATTCTCTGATCGAGATGCGATGGTTCGTGCTTTGTAATCGTAGCAACGATTTTAACCGCAAGATTTCTCGACATGATCGAGATCGAAATGACCGATGGGTGCAGCGTCTATCGTGTAGCCAACACCAGTACCGGTAGTACCATATGTACGTATGTATTACTTGTACCCTATCATACAAGATATCGTACCTTACTCTGCGAGGCGTAAGTACGGTACTTGTACCGTACCGTAGCGTCTCACAAGGACAGCATCATAGTCTAATAGAATATCAGAGTATTCTGTATGGGTATGTAGTCATACCGTGAATGTCGACTTGCTTCGACGAGACAAGCTCCGTTTGTTTTCGAGGAAGGGAAGAAACTGGATTTTGTAGTTTCGTACCGTACAGTGCGTACTAACTGTTGGAATAGCCTATTTTTCTGCTACGGTATGCTCGAATGGCATGGTTTACTGTAGATTACCTGGTACGTACTGTAGATTATCCCAGACTAAATACTGGGGGATATCGTTCAGGAGGCCTACATGGCCTTAACCGTATGTGGCAGCACGACTGTCATAAACAGCCTATTTTACATCACATGATTTTGGCACGAACTATTTTTCTCGTTTCGTGGCGTCAGAGCAATGATTGTAATCGTACCGGTATTTTCAGAACGGAAGGGAAGAGGGGAGAAAAAAATCATTCTCAAACTATGGAGCACCGTACACGTACCTTGCACTCTTCGTCTTTCGTCTTCAACTTTCCAAAAGAAATCTGAAGGTCAAAACAGTAATCCAGAAGATCCAGATCAACTACAAAGTGTTGAACCTCCAATTACAGATACAATCACAACTAAAACTTCTGTACAACTACTGCTCCGACCATGGGAAAGATCATCCACGACGTCGTTGGCCAGCGCCGGCCGAAGTGTGCCGATGAAACAGCCCCAATTTGTCCCAGCGATTGCTGCAGCTCCGACGACGAAACAACCACAAAAGGAATCCTTGGGGACCGCCGCCCAAAAAAACAGCAGCAACCCATCGCCGTTGCCCGAGGCTACGTAAGGATTGGTATGGACGTGGACGTGGATGCGAACGCGAACGCGAAGGCTGGAAACGGCAACGCCGCCGACGACGAGAACGACGACGACGGTGGTGGCGGCGAAATAAAGGAACTCGTCGTTGTTGGCGCCGGGCCCCATTCCCTGACGCTGGTCCTTCGATTGCTGGAACCCGAGGCAGACCTTTTGTCGGACAAGACGCGGCACTACCGGGCCGATTACGATTCGAAAATGAGGCCCATCGCCAAGGTGCGGACCCACATCCAGAAGCTTGCCAAGGGCCCGTCGGCGACGCTCCGGCAGAAGCGCAAGAAAAAGACGAAATTCAACAAAACAAAAAYAAGCACGGCGGCCGTAACGGCATTCGATCCCGACGAAGACCCGCCCCCGATCCCCCTTGAAACGATCCGCGGTTCGGTCCTCGTCGTCGATGCCAAGAGCGACCGGTGGCTCTCTCAGTGGAAACAAAATTTCGAAGCCATTGGCATCCCCAAGCTGCGGTCCCTCATGAACGCCCATGCCGATCCCTACGATCACCGGGCCCTGGAGCAGTATGCCGAGCTCCAGAAGCGAGACACCGAGCTGGTCCCCCTGCCACAGCTCCAGCAGAGGGACAGGGACTTTCACGGGCCCTACCAGGTGCCGAGCACGAGTTTGTTTCACGACTACCACGATCTGCTGGCAAGGGGGTACGGGATCGACGACATTGTGACCCAGGGAACCGTCTCGTCGATCGAGCCCTACAACGACGGTGACGCAGACGAGGAGCGGCCCTTGTTTCGCATCACGATCGAACGAGGGGCTGGCAGCGACGACGACAACGAGGAGGATTCGACCGAGTCGTCGTCTACTGCTCTGGCATGGTCCAGAAGCAGCAAGAAAACAAYTGTCGTTAGAACCAAGCGCGTCGTATGTGCCATGGGGCCGATGTTCGACACCGGGGAAGCCTTTTGGGAGGCGGCACTGCGAAAGGAACTCGTTTCCAAAAGCGTTCCCTATCCGTCCCACCGCATTCTCCATCCAGCGGAGATAGTTCCGTTCCTCAAGAAGAAAAGGCTGCAAGAAGAAGAACAAGAACAGCAGCGACAGGAGCTGCAGAATCAGCAAGAGCAAGAACAAGAGAACGCCCCGAACGAACGAGAACCCCTACCGTCCCCCGTTGCTGGAATAGAACCTCCTTCTCCTCCGCTCTCTCGGTTGCTGATCGTCGGTGGTGGAATCACGAGTGCGCAGCTGGCTATACAGGCTTCCAAATCCTTTTCCTGGTGCTCCTCCGTCAAGCTCGTCCAGCGATCCCGGGGCCTCCCCCGGCACTTTGACGTCGAGAACAAGTGGATGGGCCCCCGACGGGGCCAGTTGCTTGAATCCTTTTGGGAGCTGGACATGCAGCAGCGCGCGGGCTTTCTCAAGGATGCCCGCCGAGGGGGATCGATTCCGCCCGAGATCCTAGAGGAACTCTACGAGCAAGCGGGGAGGAAGGGCTCAAACCTTGTCGTCCACGAGGAAGCCCAGATCTCCAGGGTCCTCTGGAACGATTCCAAGGAGCTCTTTACGGTCGAGATGGACGACGGATCGGATTCCGGAGAAAACATCTACGACATGATCTGGCTCRTCACAGGGAGTGAGAACCACCTGGACAACTACCCGCCCCTGTCGGGACTCCTTCGGACCGTCCTGCCGGTGGACACCTTTGGCGGGCTCCCGGTTCTGGCCCGGGACCTGTCGTGGAAGGGGCCCGATCACGAGGAGGAAGAGCGGTGGAAGGGACTCGCGCGCAAGCGAATGTGGTGCATCGGATCCCTGGCGGGCCTGGAGCTCGGTCCGGACGCCCTCAACCTAGTGGGAGCACGGCAGGGCGCCGTTCGCGTGGCCACTTGTCTGAGAAAGGACATAAACGGGAGCGTGTCTTGAACGACTCGACTCTACTCGATTCAGACGTGATGACAATAAGCCATGGGGAAGAACGATTTGCATTGTTCAAAAATAAACATCCACTCCATTGAAATGCGATCCCCGCAAGGCCATAAATAACACTGTACTACCTATTACCACAACAAATCCTACTGGATTTGTATTCCCATTCCCTGTAATTATTCAGAGGTTGCCTTTTAAATACTGCGGCTTGTGAAACCTCGGAAAGGTCCCGTAAAAATGCTACCGAGCAATCTCCGTATAGATGGCTCGAACTCTTCAGAAACCCGTGGCCACCGCAGGTCTGCGCTTCCAAATCTGAAACTGATTCTAGAATTTAAGCTATTTTTGAAAAAGGCATTGCATTGGAAAGGATGGGTTTTGTTGTTTTTCTTAGTATATTATTATTTGATGGTCGCTGCAAACACGCAACGCTCCAAAAGGTATCGTTGTCGTTTCGCGCAGGAAAAAAGGACGTTGTGTCTGTGTGTATAGAGGTGGTGAGGTGTGTGCGAGTGAGTGCTTTGTGAACCCAAGATGTGTTTTATCGTACCGCTCGTTATCGAATCGAGGCGATGATTCGATTCCGTCCGGTTGCTTTCGATCTGATCTACACKGGCAGCAGATCGTTGATGCACTTGGGGAGCTCCATTTCGTGCGAGGTGACCTGCTGGATCTCTGGAATGGGCCGCTTGTATTCCATAAACTGCCGTTCTCGGTCCAGGCGCTGAGGCAGACAGTATCCCATGACTTGGTCRAAGTCCTCAAAGATGGGATCGACGGGAAAGGGCCAGGTGATCCATCCCTGAATGCCAAAGACGTCCTTGAGAGGGATGGGTTCCTCGTCCGACTGGTTCATGGTGTTGGTGGCCTTCTTTTTGAGCCGATCAATGGTCCCGATCCCCGTCATGAGTCCGTAGCAAACGTTCATGAGCATGCTGGAGGTAAATAAAAATGCTCCCACGCAGAGCATGGTCATAACTCGGACCAGGTGGACGACCACCGGGTGGAAGGTGCAGTCTTCATCGGCGCAGAAAAAGTAGTTCCATCCAAAGAGCGCTAGTGCGTAGGCCGCACAGGTCCACGTGTAGATCAAAAAGAGCAAAAAGTGCTTCAGATTGTTCCCACCGACGCAGTTGTTCATCCAGGGACAGTGGTGATCCATTCTGCTGATACACCTGTTGCAGATTCTGCAGTGATGGGACATGGGTGGCTTGAAGGTTTGGCACTGCCCGCACATGGAGTGGGAATCTTTCATTAGGCGTTGTCGCTCACTGGGGATTGCAGCCAGTGGAACGCTTCCGGGATCGGTGAGACTGGTTTTTGCGTGACAGGCCAACGCCATGAAACACAACACATTGTACACCATTCCGCAGGTAACGGGAATTCCTTCCGTAATGGTGAGGAGGGTGACGGTCACCGACGAGTACAGCATGAGCACCCACACCAGACACGACATGATCGATCCGGCCTGATCCGAGGAATTAAACCAGGTTCCGTTCTATAGTAGGTCGGCGGGATTTGTTTACAAAAGAGAACAAAAGGAATGCCGTGCAATCTGTGAGAGAGAGGTAAAACAAAGTTCATGCGTACTAGTTGACAGCACGCAATATAGTTCGCGTTTTGCATACCGAACCAAGCCCAAATCCAACAATATTGCCTTGCACTAAGATAATCTCGTCGAATCTTATCTCGACAGATCTCCACTCACCTTCTCGGCCGTCCCAAAGGAACACGACCAGGGCTCCCCGTTATAGGAATCGATGTAGAACTCCCCCCGCTCACGAATCCTCGGGTAGGACTGCGGGGGTTTCTTCCCCGAGACGTCGTCGTACGTGTAGTCGTACTCTAAAACCTCACGGCCGGGCTTGTAGATCTCCACGCAGCCGCACACCTTGACAAAGGAGGGGTACGGGGCCGGCTGGGGCTGGGCCATGGCGCCTGGGGGGGGAGCCAGGGAGCAGGTATCACCACTCGTGGTGTGGTTGGCGACCGATTGGGATGCGGCCGTACGGGCGGTCACGTACGAGCGGGTGGCGTCCATGGTGGACATGTTCCCGTTATTGTTGCCGTTGTTGTATTGGGAGGCCATTTTGTTGTTTTGCTTCGTGCTATCTTGCAATGCGTTGATCGGATAGGATCTAATTTACTGAAATTGAAGGTAGATCTTCTGCAACACCTTCAATGCAAAATATTTCGAATTATCGTTATGTACTGGACCGCCCTGTGCTTTGCCAGCTTTCAGTACGTCGTCGTTGCGTTCCAAGTATAACTACCGTCGGTATGGATGCACAGTGCTGTATCGTTATCGTTGTTGTTGTTGCGATTTTTCTTTCGTCACACGAAACACTCGTTAAGCTTCACTTGCTGGTATATCGACTGCTACGTTGTAGACTGCTATTTCCAACGCCTTATCGATAGTAAGAAGCTGGAACGAAACGCGAGATGCTGCTAAGGTATTCTCAATGTCGTGCTTCGTGGTTTGGTTGAAGGGTATTTATCTTCGTTTCCTCCCTATGTTTTTTTTCGTTCGGCAACGGTACACCTAGCTGTACTATGGGGGTGGGAGCGTCGTCGTCCACAGTAGGACGGATTGTACGGTATTCTACGGTCCAATACGTGCCACAAGCCACAGCATAGTTAGCCGTTGCTGATATGCGTACCCTAAGTACAACAACGCCGGCAGGACCCTTCCGGTTACCAAAACGAAATGCGTCTTGGGTCGTGCGAAGCGATACTACGGCGGAAGCATCTATCATTTCGAATTTTGTTGGCACGCAACACCGTGACGGTTGGTTCGACGCTGCCAAGCCGGGCGAGTCTCAAAAATTGTTCCGCTGGGTAAAGTTGCCACGGTAAAGCTAGTCGCACCGCACGACTCACCCGATTACCAGTATTGCACTACTCTAGGTATGGTACCGGTGCGTACAAGAAATACGACGTTGTGGCTCTGGCTTAACTAGTCTACTACGGTATGGTTCAGCGCGGAGATGCACTTATTTGAATTGAGAAAGTTGGCGCCTAATTTCAGTTTGTTCTTTCGTTTTCGTAAGGATTTACCGGTACCGATATGCAAACCAAAAACATCTCGGATGAGTGTCGGGAAGCTTTCCTGTTCCTACCGTACGACGCTGTCAATATAGTTTGATAATGGTTCGTTACTTATTCTTTTAACAGCGAACATACAGCAATAAAATGAAACTGCACAGAAACGGTTGGTGGAGGAAATTACGRCATGGAAAAGGATCCAAATCATACCTTGTTTGGTTCCGATGAGGATGGAGAACAGAAGGCAGACTATGATTTATACGAGGCGCGTTCGCTTAGGCAACGCTCGGGGGGACAGCGAGAGACGGATCGTCGACCTTGTGCTTGGTCAGAGGTACGGCAGATTCCTTCGGTTCTAGTTTCGGATCGGACTTCTTCGCCACAAAGCTGGCCGCGACCGCCGCAATGGCAACGCAAGACAACGCTAGAGCCACGATGCTCAAGACGTCGTCGTTGYTCCCACCGCTACCGATACCGTTTGCTGCCATGTAACTGCCGTATTCGTCCGCCATTCCCATGAAATGATAGGGGGCAACGGAAAGAAGCTTTCGGGAGTCGACCTCTGTAAAGGTTCGGATCAATTCCTTGCTTTCGAGGTCGATCACGTAGGCCTCGTCGTCTTGGCGACCTCCAATCCATACGTAATTGGTTCCCTCGGCCCATTCGACCTGGCKGCTGTATCGGCGACCTTCGTAGGGAACATCCTTGAGCATTACGTAACTGACGTCATAGCTAGGGGTGCTCATGTCAACAATGGCGACCTTGTAGTCCGACGAAGACGATACCACAAAGAGATTCATCTCGTCTGTCTGGATGTAGGCGAAGTCGTTGTAGACGCCGTATTCTTCCACATTCGTGGTGTTAAAATCGAGGCTGAGGGTTGTCTCGACTTCCTGTTCATTTATGAAAGCAGAGATTCGGATTGAAACTAATGTGAGTTAAAGTCAGTCATCGAACAAGAACCAAGCGAATGCAATGCCATTCCTCAAATGTTGGCGTACCGACATTTCTCCAGTATTGCCAACCTTTAGGATCTCGACGGTTTGACCGCCATCCAAACCGAACATGACAATATGTTCTCCATCGGGAGAACTGAAGGGCGCATACACCGGAGCAGAACCAACGAATTTGTGCGACCCGACAACGGTATCAGTGTTGGTATCGTATTCAATGACTCCGACGGTATCGGTTGGCCCTCCTTGACAATGACGTCCGCACTGGCCTTCGACGGTTTCACCGCTAATGGTAATGTTCCGAGATCCATAGCGACCACATTCGAGAGAATCGGCGCCCTCAAACCCACAGGTACAGCAGACTTCTGTGCGAGCAAAAATATGACCATTCTTTGGAGAATATGCGATGTCATAGACACCGTAGAACTCTGTAGAGTTTAGAGTAAGCGAAATGGAGGCAAGATAGCATCAGAGATAAGTTTCTTGACGGCAGAAGAACAAGATTAATACGACCGCAACTTACTTGGACTGCCATTGCTCACGTCGACTTCTTCCATGACGGATCGCCCAGCCAAATCGATCTTGTACAACTTAGGTTGCCCGCTGACAGTGCTATATGCAACGTCACCAAGCGAGGAATGGACTTCCAATTTTCCGTACGAACGCATGTTGGTATTGTCGTGCATAGTGATGGTGGTAGGAATAGGCACCGATGGGCTGTTCGCCGAGAAGACATCCATATGGCTTGCGGAAATATTCGAGTACTCCGAGCAGTGCACCCAGATCTCTTCGCGCGTAGGATGGTAGTCCAAATCTCTCGGGCTACCGCAGGTCCCAAAGGACCCGACAAGGTCTCCAGTATCAATTAGGAAGACATCGATCTCTGGAACTCCTCGTGCAACGGATGCCCAAACGTACTTGTGTCCATCACTGACGACATCGTTGAAATCACACCGGATACGGGACGAGCCTTCGCCTGTTTGGTATTGGATTGCATGTGAAAAAGATGAATTTAGGCATAAATGAGCATCTGGTTGCATGTGGTACCATGTTGAGTCAAAATTCAGACATTGTACGTACTAGAGGTGACATTCTTGCAAACCTTCTCAGGAGGAATGTTTTTCACTTCTTCGGATCCGTCGGGGGTGAAGATAGAGACACCATTTTCACCAAACATCCACATGTGGGTATGTCGGCGGCGCTTCGGGCGGGCCGCTGCTTTGACTTCCATGTCCCCGGCTGGTCCGTACGCTAGATAACCATTGTATTACAATTATTGATCAGAAAAAAACAGTTTAGTGATTGTTAGCTACCAATATTTATCGTTCTTTTCATTAGACGAGAAAGGATTCAAGCCATTTCGTACCAGATGCTCCGCATGAAAGCAAGGCAAGGATGATAGTGCTTTGAACAATATTCATATTGGTTTATTGACTACCAAAATTGTTTTGAATTAAATGAGGATATGATTTTGCATCTAAGCTAATTTTCTAGTTCATGCAAGCGTTCGGCGACTGTTGTGAAAATGATTGCTACGATCATTTTTACTCAATCTGCCGCCTGCAGTTGATGATTATTATTTGTTCTGTAGAACCCAGCTGTCCAAATAGGATTTGTCCCATCACAGTTTTGGACCGTGCACTCAATGGCTCGGCACGCACCTTATTTCTCGCAACAAATATTGTATTGATTGTGTCCTTCAACATTATCGTCAATCTATGGGATTATTTTTTATTTTCTCAAATTTTGGCGTGTGACCCTTCTTTATATTCTGTGTTTGCCACAAGACGAGTTTGATGGACTGAAAGATACAAAAAATAAAGAAATCTGTCCCATTRGTATCATGTTTGACATTCGGCCGAACCGACACACGTTCGGATCGTGTCCCTGTTTACACTACTAGTAATAACAGTGTATGGTACCGTAGCAACGGCTTCCATTATTTTCTACCTAAACATGATTTCTGTCCATAATTTTGTCATACGGTACGGTACTGCGTACCGAAACAATCGCTTTACAGTAACTGAAAACACCAAAAGAGGGCCAGAAGTTTACGATTGCATGCAGTACAGTGTCATCATTACTTTTCCATTATTGCTTTGGATTCGATCGAACTGACACACATCTGGATCGTGCCCTTTTGGCTTGATGTTGTCTTCTGAAACATCTTTTCCTTTCGGCACTACGGTAGTACTAGGAATAGTATATAATGATATCACGAAATACAGTAATACGAAGTACTGTAATAATTACTGTATTAATAGTTTCGGTAGGCCAGAAGGTGAAAGAAGAAAAACTAGCAAATACGAAGTAGATGATTTTTTCTTTTCAATACCTAGCACACTTTTGGACCGTGCCTTCCTTGTCTTCCGTCTTTTCGTCTCTACTTTCACAGATAGTTTTCCTTCGGCTTTCCAAGATACCTTGCACATCAAATATCTGACAGATTTTCGTCGTCTGCAATCTTGACTTGATCGCTTGTCTCAACATCTACCACGGGCAGCGGTATTTTTCTTTTCCATGTCTCTTTGTTTATGTTCGTTTTTTGGCAGTAGACAGCACTAATGCCCACAGCAATGCCTACCACAACTGCGACTACCGTTACAATTGTCACTAAAGAGCCCTCAGACAATCCTTTGTAGTCACTCGACGACCCAGAAGCAGAGGGGGGAGATGCATTCGGGATCCCATCTTCGTCAAATGCTGAAAAATCATTTGCTTTGTCGTTAGTGATAGTTCCTGGCAACGAGGGAGGAGCCGCGACAGGATGTGCCTGAATGGGCTGTCCCGGTAAACTCGATAGGAAGCAGTTTGCACCAACCTTTTCTTTCACTTGCTGATGGGTCCAGAAGGGTTCATCCGGGAGGCCCGGCTGCGAACAACTTCGGTGACCTACCGCACAGAACGCGTGCCCGGCAAAGCAAGCCCCAATCTCTACCTTTTCGGAGGTGCATTCCGGATCGTCCGAGTAGTATTCTTCACCCTCGATGCAATCCTCCGACGACCATACGCAGCGATCTCCGCACTTTCCATATGTAACATATGTAACTTCGTGACGAGATAGATCCTGTGATATGGTGCAGGTTGGATCGAAGTCCACAAATGAGTGTTCATCTTGACAACGGGAGGGCAGATTCGAGCAGTTTCCCGAGTCTGCACAACGACCAATTACGACGCTTTCCAATTCTCCTGCACAGTAGCGATATGGATGGCCGCCGTTTGCGCGGAGATAGTGAGCAGATACAAATGTGTCGTCGTCACAGTAGTCTTCAGGTTGAGCTACGCAAGTCGCTGTTCCGTTCACATGACACACACCGGCAAATCCTTCCCGGAAATCCATTTCTTCATAAGTCGACATAATTTACAGAGCACGAAAATGAGTCAAATATTAGCAACAGGATTTCGGATACAGTATCTCTACTGCGATAGGATCTTGATCGCAATTTTCTATTCGGATTGGTTCACAATTTAATACTGTAAATGACTCACGACTGCGAAAATTTCTACAATAATTTTCAGGTTTTCTTTAGATTCGAACATTTACATCAGATAGTACATACGTCTACGTACGTACATACTCCACGAAAAAACGATTTCACTACTGTAGGTAGCCTAGGTAGAAATAGCTAGCGTAGTGAAAACAAAATCTGTACTTATCGTACSTGTATGTGCAAGTGCAGTACGTACTGTACTTACTACTGCATTCTAAGGTACCAGGTACCGTAGCCACCTCTCAAAAAACTGAACGGTTGCAAGGAAAACACGAAAATTGGTGTTGTAGCTTACGAGTACGTACGTACTCGTACTACTTAATACTTCAACTACGTGCTTGTACCTGTACTAAGATAGAAAAATGAGATGATCCCATGTTATGCACAATTGGAACACGCGTTACTGATGATCGTGTGTTCTTTCATCTCTCAAATTATTGAAAAGTATGAAGTGATTATTTATGAGTATCCATGTCATATCTTCCGCATGCCTTACACTTTTTCTATTCTGAAAGTACCTGCATTCCCATATCGCTGCCTTTTGATCTGTTCCTAAGATTCTCTTAGGATTTTATCTTACTCCCAATTATAAATGCATGGCGTGCAATCTTTAATCAAGTCAATGAATTTAGATAACGAAAAAGACTCGGATAATAGTACAGATGACCCTGGAGAGGATACATCATCTTCGTTTCAATTGCAACCACTGTCCCCTCCTCCTGGGTCCAATCTGTTGTGTAACGATGAAACCAGAATTGAGAGAASACGACTTCGGCACGAATGGGATCATCTAGATCAATATGATGTCGCTCTATATTTGGATGCGATCGAGACGGCCATCGAACGAGGACTTCACCAACGTTTTGCACTCTACCACTTTGACGAGGTGTCGGAAATACAAGCCCATGACACGTGTGGCTTTTATTTGTGGCATAGAATCTTCATTCTGGCCTACGAGAACATGCTCCGGTCGCTAGAGAATCGATTTTYATGCCTGACAATTCCCTTCTGGAATATTTATCGAGACTATGACAAGCAGGAATTGCCGTCGGATGTGAATGCCTGTAGATCCTATGCCACATGCTCAAAGATCATTAACGACTTGGGAGGGCTCGTGTTGAACGATGATTTTGAAGAACGAACTTTTTTTGGAACAAAAGTGGATGGTCTATGGCATTTCAAACCACCACTGCAGAACCTTCGAGACGACAACAACCGGGTCGGTATGATTAGATATGATCTTTGGTTCGATCCAATCCCGAAAGAAGTCAACATTTTGTCGGTCGAAAACATAACCCGGGTTTTTGCCACTAAAAATCGGGCCGAGTTCTGGGAGATTTTGCACCACAGTATCCACGATTCGGTTCACGACACGATCGGAGGCTTCATGAGGACTCCCGCTAGCCCTATTGATCCTCTATTCATGCCGTGGCATAGTACCATGGATCTTTACGATTATATCTGGGAAACCTGTCATTCCGAAAGTGACAGTTACGGCGACCCGACTTATGAGGATGCGAGTGGCGAGAAGTGCATTTACACATCAAAAGCAAAGAATCATTTTCTTAATATCTCTCTTCACACCGATACAGTATATATGAAACTCAACAGCAATGCTACGATTGATATTCGCGACGATCCACAGATTGGGAAATTTTTTTCACATCCCATGAACTTCGCTGATGTTTGGGAAATAAGGAAATTGAACATAGATCATAGATTTAGATACACCGACATTCCAGAATACTTCATTCGCGCTCTCGAGAACAATCCCGAAGCCTGTCCGAATGGACTGAATTCAATCCTGCCAAGTCGATATATTGCAAATGGTACCAATAACGATGGATTTGTTGAAAAATATACACGAAAGCCGCCCACATTCTCGAATGAGGAGCTGATGAACTTTAAAAAAATTTGGATCGAACAAGCCCAATCCTATTTCGACGAAGTAGCTCCATCACCGTCAACGAATGATGACGAAGTCGCGCCTCCCGGTTCTCGCAAAAAATCAAAGGAGCAATTGTGCTGCCACAGCAGTAACAATATTAAGTTTATTTGTTGCTTGCTGTTTGAAGCGATTGACCGCGATACGATAGAGCGATGGGCCATTGATGGCGACACATTTCTGGCACAGGTGGTACAAAGTAGGAGATATGACACCCATCCACTTTGTCGTGATCTTCTTTCAAATACTTCGTATGGCCCCAATGTTGAGGCGAGTCAAAAGTATGAAGAATCGTCGGTTGACTGCTTTTCAGATACAAAACCCCACATTAGCAGCAGTGGTGGTCATTTTCGAGGTGCAATACGAGACTCGATTTGCCATTGGTGGTCTGCCGTATTTCTGATCACATATCTCGTATCCATATTTGTGCGATAGTAGCACTATCATACCAATTTCTTACGCTCCAATGAACATAATTGAATGCAATAATTAGATCATTTGTTATCATGACGATCAAAATCACGAGAATAGCGCAAGACGATGTCGAACACGTCTTAACATTCTTTCCTCACTCGTATTCAAACACGATGTAATACCCCAATGCTGTTATCTAAAACTACGAAGATTTGCACATGAATGAAAAGACAACAAGCAAGCATTCTTTCTTGCTATATGTTTGTCCTGCAGCAACGTCATCCTCACGACAGTCTATAGTACAGCGAAGTCCTCAGTCGCATTTATCTCGTTATGAATGACGCCATCTGTTGGCAAAAGATGCGTCATTTTCCTTCCTGTTATTCACATTGGTGCCACTTGTGCTGTCTTAACTTTCTTATCGCTCTTGGAATAATATCATTTTTGTTTCTTAGGCAATCTTGTTTTTGCTTTCGGGGTCCCAGAAGTACGGCAATGCTGCCAAAACAGCAATGTGCAGGGTGATGTCGTACCAAACATGGCCGCCGATAGAAATCAGAAATTCTTCACAGGACAGGAGCTCTAGAATCCCAACTGCGGTGCACACGACAAAGAGCTTGCCGACCAAGGGAGAGAACGTTGGTTGATCAGATAGCAGTCCCGTAATGCATGAGAGAGGGTGCACAACAACAAAAAGAGCAGGCAATATGTATTCTCCATTGCCAGCATCATTCGCAATTTGGGAGACAATGAGAGCAAAGATAAAACTGATGACAAAAGTGATTGCCCTAATCCCTCCGAATCCGAATGACACAATGATAACTGAAAGAACGAAGGAAAAGATGGTGAAGAGCAGATATCCGAGTTCCTCGGTTTCTTTATCCACCACGGTGTAACAGTTGATCACCGTACCCAATACGTCCTGATCTAGAAACCAGTGTAACAGTCCGTGAACGAGAATGATGAAACCAGTCGCAAGGTAGGTTGGCAAATTTTCTTTCTTGTTTTTGTTTCCATCCATTATATAAAGGACTACTGCCCCTAGCGTAAGGATAACATCGACCACAAATGCAGCTCGGTGTGAATTGACAGAAAAGTCGGGTTTGCAGCCATCTTGGGTCGGATAGGTTCCAACTAGATTGGGATCGTCGCCCTCATATTTTCCCCAGACACAAAAACCGAAGAGGAGCGAACTCGTGCGTACTCCGGAAGTAACCAGTCTGAAAATGACGGCATAGATGATCGAGAGCAATGAAGCTAGCGACCATGCAGGCTTCTGCTGAATAAGTCTCAACATTTTGGTTGCTATAACTTGTAGGTTTCAAATTATTCTCGCACGTGTTAAGGGATGGGTTGTAAAGAAGTTTTGACGGTTTGTAAATATCTTTCTCTTTCGAGATCACACAATACAGTTCGAACTTGCTATTCGTTCTTAACAGTAATACACCTGAGCCAAAAAAGTGAACACTACAGTCTACGTACAGTGCGCAATTCTTAATAGAAGTAATTTTGTGAATGACGTAAGTGCCCATYATATCTGACCATAAAAGACCATAAGACATTATTACTAATGTCTGTTTGTGATCTACTGTGATTCCCCGTAAAATCCTTTGTATTTATGTCAACAATTATGACTGAGCCCCTAAGTCCAAAATCGAAAATCTTTTGGAGCATTCACGTACGAATGCAATACACGTACTTCGTGATATTCTTCCTACGTAGTATGGTACCCTGAAGCACATGTGGCACCTGGCGTTGTTGGTCTGGGTCTGGGCCATCCGGAACCCACACGCGCGCGTCCCCCCTTTGAAATCCAACATTCAGGGGCATGATTTCGTGGGTTATTCTTCCAATGAAATACACCACGTTTTTCCCATGAAATAACAAATAACCCATGTTTTGAAAAGTGGGTTATAACCCATKAAATAACCCACAAAGAAATAACCCACTGCAAATAACCCTCAAATCTGCTGGGCCTATTTTCAAACAAAATAAAACAGTGACTAATCAACTTTAGCAGTACTACTAGAAGGAGGAAGATGAATAGTAGCACGTCACACAAACCTGTACTATGGTTTTTTTTTTCCTGGGTGCATGAAATAAAATTC